CCCCCTGCTGGGGACCCTCCGGAGGAAATAATCAGAAAGCTGCAGCAGGTGACGTGGCCCCCATGGCTGCGCCTCTGTTGCCAGGACATGCTGATAAGGCTAAATTACATGAAAGGAAATTCACAATGGAGTCAGTACTGCTAAGAGAGCTCTCTAAAAATCGAACCAAGAGGCCATTAAGGAAGTGTGACTTGTGCACGTCTCAGCCTAGATGGAATCTGACCTTCTGACCCGATGAAGTCATCTGCCAGAAACTTGTGACAGCCTATCTACTCATCAGACCCCCTACCCTAAAAACACTCGTGACACTCTGTCTACTTACTGGACCCCTAACCTAAAACAAATATTTTCTGACTTGCGTCAGAGTTAAACCATCCTCACCAGGCAACCTGTAACAAACTCGTGGCTTTTTGTCTTTATAAGCCCGACTCTTTCTCCTCCTCAGAACCCTCTTTCGTGCTCACCTGAATCTATGTCTCCTGAACTGTAATTTTTAAGACCTCAAATACACAATTTTCTTATTTGCAGCCTCCTGAATTATTCTTGGGGTTGACAGTAGCCACAAGGGGTGCTCGGCTCAGGTGCCTAGGGCTATAACGAGGCGGGGTGGCTCTGGGGGACATGACCCCAGCCCCACCGCCATCATAGCCCATCCATGCGCCTCCCCAGTGCCCTGGGCCTGAGAAGGTTTCCCTGCTCAGCACATGGCCCTGGGCAGCCTTGCACCCCTCATCCTGCCGAGGGTCTCTCGACTGCCAGCTTCCCCACAGGCTGCAACTGCAAGACCGTGTTCTGCCTCTTACCGTCTGTTGTTCTATGGACGGTCTCCCACCTCCTTCTGGGCCCACCTCCCAAACCCTTTCTCCACAGGCTGCAATGTTCACCTAGCAGGCCACACCAGGTCCCTGGTGATCCAGGGGCTTCCCACCTCCCTCTCCACCAGGCCCTGCCCCCCACTGCCTTCCCTGAGCCCCAGTCCCACCCTGTTCTGTGTCTGGGACCTCTCCGCAGCCAGAGCTGGGCCCTGGAACTGTTGCTCTCCCTGTGTGATGTCTCCTCCCGTGAGCCTCAGCTCTGTCAGGCTCCAAGCCCCTGGCCCCCAGAGCTGGCCTGGCACACACAGGACTGCAAGAGGCTCTCAGAATAACAATGCCAGGGCAGTCACAGACGAGCCGGTGCGAGGACACAGGAGGCAAAGAGGCCTAATGTGCAGGCTGAGCCGAAGTGGGGGCTCGTGCGCAGCCCTCTCGGCACTCTGTGGAGTGAGGGTGGTGGGCATGGGGCCGGTGCTCAGGCTCCTGGGGACACCCTCCTGCAGAGCCCCTGCCCCTAGGCCTGCCTCTTGGCACCTACCCGGGGCGACTGGTGGGGCTCCAAGGGGGCCCGACATCTGGTCTGGCGGCCGGGGCCGGTGCCTGTCCTCAGCCGCCCTCTCCTTGTCTTTGTGCTTCTTAGATTTCTTCTTGGACTTGCCGTGCAAGGAGGTGCCACGGGGCCTGCTGGGCTGGGCACAGTCCGTCAGCAGGGGCAGGCTGAGGCACTCAGTAGGTGCCGGGGCAGCCACTTCCCCACGCTCGCAATCCCGGCCGCTGTGGCCCAGGTCGTTGCTGACATCGGCCAGGGGGTCGTGGGCCCGTGGTGGCTCCAGCCGCGGGGGCAGGTGGGCGTCTGTACCAGCCAGTGGGCCCGGGGTGGGAAGCAGGGCCTCACGGCCGTGGGGCACACTCAGTTTCCCGTTGACTGCAGGCTGAGCTCTCTGGGTGAAGTGCGATATCCTGGGTTTCTTGTTGGCCAGAGGGTCGATGAAATCAGGAGGCTGTGGCCGTTTCTGGGAAGGAAAGGAGACAATTTCAGAGGGGAGCCTGTGCCTAGAGTTACTGGGGAGAGGCTGGGCACCGCAGGCCCGGAGGAAACCCAGTGCCCACACGCAAGGCCCGCGCTGACCACATGGGGGCGCGCGAACACTAGCCAGGCCCAGGATGCCCAGAGCTCAGCAGGGGCTGCCTGCCCAGGGTCTCAGCTCTCAGCTAGGCCCAGAGGCCACCAGAGCGGAGGAAGGGCGCTGGGTCATTAGTGGACCTGGTTGCAGCCCATAAGGGCCACCTCTGTGAACTGGTCTAAAACATCACTGTGCTCAGCATCTTCCCTGGACGATGGGAAGAGTGACAGAGCCAAATCTGAGTGACACAGGGCAGCCCCACAGGCCAGGACCAACACCTCCAGGCCCCTGACTACTTGGATCCCCATGGCAACCCTGTGACATGGTGCAGGCTTCATCCCCATTTCACAGACAAGAACACTGAGGCCTGTGAGGCAAGGCCAGACCACAGGAATGGGGCCAGGATCAGACCAGGTGGCCCAGGACCAGGGAAGCAGCAGTAGGGAGAAAGATGGCAGATGGGCAACCCAGGATCAGAGGGAAGCAGTGGGGACACAAGTGAAATGAGGCCCTCTGTTCTCCACAACGGCCCTACAGCCACGGGGAGGCTTTAAGGGTCATGGGCCTAGGCTGGGTGCCTCCAGGGCAGAGGAGGAAGAGGGAGAAGAGGGGCTGGCCCCTCCCAAGCAGGGGATGGAGACGTGGGACTCGTTAAGTCAGAGCATGCAGGTGGGTGGGGAGAGCTTTCACCGAACAGCTCAAGCAACGGTGAGGCAGGTATTGCTGAAGATCAAGCCCCCAACAGCAAGGCCCCCCACAAATGCCCTTCCCGACTACTGACTAACATGGCCGTGGCCACTGCTCATAGGACCCCACTGGGCCCTGGCTGGGCTGCAGCCATATGCTTGATTTTCCAACAGCCCTGGGAGGCAGGAGTGCCCACCATACAGAGAAAGCAGGAGGCTCAGTGTGGTTCA